GTGGGGGGACAGCGCGGGGGAGGGGGAGGAAATGCCCTTTCCTCCTTCCACGCTCTGCCCGGGACCTGATCCGCGTTTTACAAGCGACAGGGAAATGCTGAGAGTTTTACCCCTGTGCCGGGAAGGGGCGGCGGGGGGAGCGGTACAGCAAAACCATCTCTTGCTTTGTTTTAGTTTTCAATGAATTCTAACTCATAAACTGGACATGCTCAGGCTCAGAAGACTAATTCATCCCCTAAAACAAACGCATCACTGATTGCAGGCACCCAAACGTGACAAGCGTCTCAATACGCCAAGGATCCAGAGAAAACAAATTCATTCAGGAGCCTGAAACATAATTATAACTGCTGCCAAGAAAATGAGCTGGGAGCAGGATGTTACCAAGATTATTAAGTTGCTGAGGGGCTGAGGCACGGCCCACTATAGTGATACGTACAGATAATGTCAGCATTTGGATAATACCAGGCAGAACGATTCCTGGAGGTCGCTGTTTTGCAAGCGCAAGTCTAGTAATACAGTGCTGTGGCCAGATCCTGCTCCGAGGGAGGGAACGCCAGAGACCCAGAGACTCCAGGGGGAAGGATCAGGCCCCGATGGCTTCATGCAAGCTGCCTGTCCACAGAGGGCTTAAGAGGGGGGCTTCTCCAGTGCAAACGCCTGAGCAGTCCATTTTTCCCTTTCTTTATACCAGCAACGTCAGTATACCTTTTATAAACGTCACCTTGTACATGTACTACTAAATTCTCCAGATACTTGGGATTATTTGCTTGCAAGAGAGATTGCTGCAATGCACTTATTTAATATAGAAAAGATTTTTTCATGTAGAGCATGGTACAGCAAAAATGCTTAATACTAAGGAGTAGCAGATATAGAGAAGCTTTTCAACGGTGGGGGAGGTTAAGAGGAGGCAGGCAACACAGGTATAGATGGAGCAGTGAAAAAGAAGGAAGCTGAAACTGAAATGTTATAGGAACAAGAATTCCTGTTGATCCATAGGCATCAACAGCTTCCTATTCAGCAGTAGGTACAAACACAGCTCTTGAACAAGGAAAAGCAAGGGGTAAATACAACAAGATATACTTTTTTTAAATAAATCACTTGTTAACCACTCTTACTACAGGTCTTGTTTTAAATATGCAGTTTCACATTGATCAATGCAGAATGATTAAATACCATACTCCATATTTCGTATAATAAAAACACTTAATCCAGGTAATTGGCTTCTGGGACAAAGATCAATAGAAATGTTCCTTATTTGACTACGTTAGCAAGTCGAAATTAATTCTAATTTACATTTGTTTCCAATCAATATGCACTTAGTGACTTACACAGGCTCTTTAAAAAGTTAAACACCTATATTGACCACAGTCATATATATGACAATAACAAGTACATGTTTGGGAATTACAGGGAAAAAAAGATTGTTGCCACAGAACCAATCTCTGACTTCCACAGAGGAAAGGAAGATTAAATTTGCTTGGGTTTGAAAAGCACTTTGGGATCTTAGCCAGAAACTTCTAGAAACATGCAGCTCTTATCCCAGTGATTTATACAGGCATCCAAATACCAGGTAGTTATGCTCCACGCCCTTGGGAGCAGACTTGCCTCCTAAGTTTGTACAGTGAGGTCTTGACCTCAGCTGGGACATCTCTGGCTGCTATTATAATAATAATAAAATAGTAATACTAAACATTAAAAACCCAAAATGAAGCGAATTAGGCAAGCTACAGAATTTCCTGAGAAATCCAGAAGCAAATACTCTGCACACAGAAAAGGAACCAATCCCAGCAAAAAGAAGGAAAAGGGAAAAAGGACAGAAGCCCAAAACACCATAAAATAGGCCAACAGAAACAGAGGCCAAAAAAAGAGGGCGGGGGAAGGATACTTGTCACAGCCAACAGACAGTAAGAAACAAGGAAAAAGCCTGGAAGAAATCCCAAATGCCATCAAACCAGTTTTCTAACATGCAAAGTACAATGAAACTGATCCACAGCGGCAGGGAAACAGAAACAGAGCTCATCTCAACCCCAAGAACGAAGCTGTGTAGAGTGACCTACGCTTCAGCGCCTTGGCTTCTCCTTGCTTAACTTCACTGAACACAAGGAAGTGTCGGAGGAGGAAAGAAAACAAAACCATAACCCACAGCCATATCCTTCAGTGTTGTTAAAGGCGTGAGCAGAGGCGTGAGCAGCTGCAGTCATTCAGCTGTACCTCAGAGGGATGGATCAAGGCCTCCAGACTCTCCAAACTTTTGACAGCCCTGCACAAAAACACCCATTAAAAAGTGAAGCAGGAGTTTGTAAGAATGACCAAAAAGCAGACCTGCAACTTCGGCAGCATCTCTGCAAGATGGAGTGTGTTGAAGCATCAAAACTTAGTCTCTGGTTTTAAATCTATTGCCACACAGTCCTCCCCCCTCCCCGCCCCCACCCCCAACTTTGGCTTGGATTATGCTTTTCACAATGCTGTTAACTGGAAAGAACTGCCCTGCCTCCTTCCTCTAGTACTTCCCTCCTTCCAAAAAGCCATCTATGTTGAACGTTCTAAGCCTAGAATAAATGAGGGAGTTCATTTCAATTCTGCCATTCATCATTTACAATCGGAA